CACTGTAATTGAAAAGGGAAAAGGTTAAGAAAAAGAAACAAGTAAACTCAGATTAGCTGGATCACAGTCGGAAATGAAAAGATTGTTTCGCCTTTTCATATGAATTAGTTTTTAAAGGGGTCCATCTGAGTGAAAAAAAGATATTGTTGAATCAAAGTAATCACATAACACCAGCTCATTGAAATGACAGGATGAATAAACAAGCTGACCTGCAGACCAGACAAACTTTGGTTGGCTGTGATCAGTGTGATACTCTAGGTCTCCTCTTCCAGCTCTGCACACATATCCTGCTGTGTGTGTCTGTCCATGAATGATGTAGGAGTCCTGTGCAGTCCCACTGCCATCAGGTAGCAGCTCATAACTGGAGGATTTCTCTGATAGATCAGGAACAGCTTTATACCAGTAGAAGCTCCATCCTGCAGACGGATGTTCAACCTCACAGTTCAGAGTTACTGAGGCTCCAGGACTCAGCCATGATGGAGACACAGTGAGGACAGGACGGGGTTGTGGAATACGCCAGGCACAAACACACGCACACACAGGTATGTACTGCCAACTTCCACATTTATTCAGTCTTTGTGTTATGACAGCTGACTCAGTCCCACAGTCTGACAGCTCACGAGCCCAGCTGATCTCTCTCTGGCCGCTCCTCCTCGTCTCACTATAAACACAGCGGAGGGAGACCATCATCAGTCCATAAACAACATCAGCTGTTCTTACCGGCCTCGCAGCGCCGCCCTGTTGAGCCTTCCGCTCCACTCCTCCCCTGCAGCTGCGCCCGGGGCCACGCCTCCGCCACAGGGGTTTATCAACTGGAAAGACCTTTTCACATAATGACAACATGTTACAGCGTGAATATGATATACTTTATTTTTTTGTGTGGCTTCAGCCCTGAATATTCTCACTAAAGCTCCAAATATAATTCTTTATCTTTACATTTTTGTTTCCATCTCTTCTGCTGATCCAATTCAGGGTCACAAGGTATTGGACCACATTCTAGGCAGGTCTGTTACCGGGCTGAGACATTCACATGTACCTACAAGCGTACCTGCGTATGTACCTACAATTTACATTTGCCAATTAACCTATTCCCAATAACTCTCTCGACTGTGGGAAGTATATAGAGTAGCTGGAAAGAATCCCCACTGAGGAGTGTACAGAGCACTACAATAAAGACAGAAACTTCAGACATTATCAAACTAAAGACACTCAAATATGAAATAAATAAAACATGAGAGTCCTCTGATCACATGACCTGAAATGGTACAAATGGCTGATGCTCTGTTCTTCTTACTAAAACATGTTTATGGATCAGTATGAATCAAACAATAGGAGTCAGTGATGTACTCACAGAATAGGCCCAGCTCACAGAGCAAAGTGGCTCCCATCCTCACATCCAGCAGTGACACGTCTGAAAACTTCTACAACTTTCTGTAAAGAGAGAGAGTGAAGCAGCAGCACAGCAGATACCACAGAGCTGAGAAGGAAACAAAGAGGGTTTTTTTTAACTTCTTCCCTCTCTTCCTTCCTTTTTACACAGAAATTACAACGCAGCAAGGTGGGGTTACTTGGAAAATCTATCAAACAGGTACACAGTACAAGGGTAATATACAAACAAGTGGAAAACCTGGGAGAGCACATGTTTTTCTTTGGAAAGGCAAACTTTAAAAAACAAGCAAACAGTTTAATCCCAGGATTTCAATTAACAAAACAAAAAAAGAAGAAGAAAAAAAAAACAATTCTGGCATTTTGTTTGTTTCCATTATGGTTGACGCCACATATAAAACACCAGGACAGGAACACATAATGTACCACACACAACCATAAATGCTGGCAACTGATGTAGGTTACATCATAGCCTTTATGAAGATTCAACAGAGAAATCTAAATCAGCCATTATTCACAGTGTCTACCATAAGGCAAATTAAATGCATATATACCATAACAAGGCTGAATGCACTGTATGCTGATGTGTTAAATTGACTTTGTCATTAATCATTACTAGCATCACACAAGTGTCTCATCTTTGCCTCCTACTTGTCTGCTTGCTTTGTTTGATAGGAGCTTTATCACCAAAAAAAAACAAACAAACAAAAAAAAAACTACCCTTACACACATTTGTTGTTGGGTCATTAAGGTAACATTTGAAGTCTACAAAATACATATATTAGATGAGTTCAAACTGACATAGAGGTATAACTGCAGAGATAAAAAAAAATATTAGCAAACCAGACAATAGACTGTTATTTCCCTCCTGTCATCGATATGATCATCCAGTAGACCACCACTGGTACATTGCAGTCATAAACTGCTGGTGCACACTAATCACCAGCACACAAAATCATTACCAAACACAGCAGCTGTTGGTAATCCTGCACTTTTTCATGCAAGAGTTAAATCTATAAGTAAAAATACCTCCCTTTAAATTTTAAGCTGAGCTTTATGAATGTAAAGTGTCCCACAAATCCAAACTCCTTTATTTTTTATTTTTTTTCTTCTCCTTTCTGATAATTATGAGACATTTTGTGTTCTTTGCTAGTCTCTTTCTTATTGTTGAATCATGAACTCTGAACTTAACTTAGGAAAGTGAGATCTACAGTTCTTTGGATGCTGTTCAGTCGTCTTTTGTTGCCTCCTAAGTGAGGGGTTGATGCGCTCTTGGAGTAATTTTGGTAGGCCGCCCACTTCTAGGAAGGTTTGCCACTCTTCCAAGTTTCTAAATTTTTCCCATTTTTTTCCCAGCCTTAAAAATGGCTTTGTAACCCTTTCCAGACTGATAGATCAATGAAGGATGTGTTACTTTTTGAACCCAGCTTTCCAAAAAATGTAAGTTAATTCATGATTTATTTATTTATTTATTTATTGCCTGTCCCGTTTGGCTCTTTTGCCATCAGAATTATTGCCTAAAGGAGAAGAAAGATGCCCAACGGATTTACTTTACCAAATGGACCATCCCAGCCTTGCCATAATGGTCTATTTGATTCACCTTTTATTGTTTATTTTATTTTATTTTCACTTTGCTAAATACGGAAAAAAAAGGGGAAAAGCAGAATGATAAACCCACTCACAGAGCACTGGGGAATATGTAACAGGGATATTTACAGCTAAGTCAATAAAACAGAGGCAAAGCAGCAGGTGAATGCATTAAAGATTTGGGAGAGGCGGTGTTCCAAGGGTAAATACACACTGTTTTTTAATCTCACAGGGCTCGATACACACAGAGAGATTTGCACAGACAGACTGATTATTCCAACGTAAAGAGAAACAGAAAATCATACAAGACAGAGGATGAGCACGTACCTCACTGACACAATAATATGGCAACAACTGAGTGTCTGCTTCTGTCAGTCTGAAATAGTCAGCTTGATGAGCAACGAGCTGTACATCAGTATGATCAGCTGATCTTCTACAGGTTAGCAGCCAGTGAGGAGGCAGAGACATTGAGCGGAGCTACCTCTGTACAAAGGTAACACACCTCCACGAACACACACAGACAAGCACCAACAGGAGAGACAGAGAAAGAGGCCAAAGGCCATCGTGAGAGAAACTCAGGGACCGTGACAGGGAGACTGTTTGGTTTCTGGCAGAACTATGTTACCATGGAACTACACAGAAGACAAGGTCTTCATGTCAGAGAACAACAGTAAGAGGTGTCTCCTTCTTTCTCTGTTGTCCCTGTGATAGACTGGTGACCAGATCAGGGTACACCATGTCCTGAACTTATAAGATAAGATAAGATAAGATAAGATAAGATAAAACTTTATTAATCCCTCGGGTGGGTTCCTCTGGGAAATTCTATTTCCAAAAGCACAGCACCGACAGAAGTTACAGAGTTACAGAATATTATATATATATATATATATATATAAACACACACACACATATATAAATACAGAGACATATATAAATAAAATATACGAAGGGGATAAATAGAATAAATAGGAATAAAAATAAAAATACAAGTGAATTGCACATTTCAAGTATCTTGTATCGCTATATCTAAGAGGTATAAGTAGAGAAACTAGAGGAAGGTGAAATAAAGTTTGAAAGCCTAGTCTAAAAAAAGTTAAAGTTAAGAAAAGGTGCGGTGTTGCATCTTGAAAGATGGCACATGGAAGAGGTTCTAGCCCCTCTGTGTCCCAAGAACTGGGAAATTCTGACCCACAGAAAATGGATGAATGAGTAGAAGACTCACACTGAGCATTTTGTGGTTGCACAAACAGAACAGGATTTCACAGAGAAGCCAAATAAGAAATGATAAAATAATCAAAGGGCTTTTACATGAAAATGATTGAAAACAGAAGTCACGCCTCTACTTCAGTTAGAGGTGAGACTAACTTATTGGGTGTTTATTTGTAAGCTGAGAAAAAAGTCAAAGCTTCATTTATTATTATGATTTTAGATTGATGTACCGCAATTATTAGTGTTTTTATATATTACCTTTGATTCATCATATCTAAATGCTTTGACAATCCTGCTCCTTGTTTTAAATCCAAGAATGAGACAATCTTTTTATATTTACAGGAAAATACCAGATAATGTATTTTTTCTGAAACTGAACAAATAAACAAATAAATAAATAAATAAATACTGTATCACTGAGTGCGTCTAAAGAACAAGTACCTTGATCAACATTAAGGTATCAATAGTTGCAAGACTGTGGGACTTGCAACTTGGGGTTAGTATCTTACCCTCGGATATTTAGCATGCAGATTGGGGGAGGCAGAGATCAAACCACCAACCTTCCGATCAAAAATACAATTATTTGTTGGTTACCTCTGAAAATTGATATCAGAGGTATATAGGCTCCTATTTTTAACAGAGTAAATCCTATAGTCAGACTGTACATAAAGTTATAATTTCTGTCCTTTTCTTTCCATGTACAGTTGTGGGGTTTATGAATATCCCCACCCTAAGCTATGTATGATCTGATACCACTTTACTTCCTTTGCTGGTTTAGAACACAAGCATTTGAGTCAATTTAAATCAGTTTTGTTTATTTAACAACAATTCACAATAACAGTCACCTTAATATGCTTCATTTTGTAAGTTAAACACCCTGCAATAAACAACAAGCACCTGGTAACAGCTGAGAGGAAGAACTAAGTCTGACACTGACAGAAAATAAAACTGCCTCTGCAGGCAGCTTACCTAAAATAAAAAGAACAAAAAGTTGATCTTTTCCTAAAACTGTTAAAAGAAGAAAAACAATTTTATAGAAATATGTCAAGTGATGCTTAATTCATCCAGGAGAAAATAAACATGTAAACATGTGTATGCTTATCATACACATCAAATGATTTTAGACAAGACACAGAAAACATCTGTAAATATGCACTGCTCAAAAAAAATGAAAGAATTACTTTTAATTCAAGTAAAGCATCACACCACTTAGACATCTCTGCTCTGTGAAGTAGCAAAACATGCAGTTAACAAAAGGTGCATCCCAAATCAGGAATCATTTTACAACTAGAGGTCACTGGCATTTTTTCCTTTCTCATATTTTCTATCTGTCTTTTTCACTAGTTTTACTTTTTGGCTAGAGTGATCATCGTTACTGGTAGGATGAGATGAGACAATCCCTGGATGCTACAGAGGTTGTACAGGCAGTCTAGCTTCTCTAGGTTGCCAGTTCAATGCGTGCAATTGTCAGGTTTGCTAGCACAGTCTCAAGAGTTTGTCACCCATTGTCAGATCCTACGCTGGTGCCTGTGGGTCCTGGGTTTCTCCTGGTATGACAATGCCGAGCTTCATGTGGCGAGAGTATGCAGGCAGTTCCCAGAGGATTAAGGAATTGATACCACTGACTGGTTCCCACACTCGCCTGACCAAAATCCAACTGGGACATTATGCTCCTCTCCATCTAAAGCTGCCATGCTGCAGCTCAGACTGTCCAGGAGCTCAGATGCCCTTGTCCAGATCTGGGAGGAGATCCTCAGGACACCATCATCTCTTGTGGAGTATGCTCCAAAATTGTCAGGAAAGCATACAAGTCCATGGAAGACAAACTGACTACTCAGTATAATTTTGAGTCGGTGCAATGAAATTTCAACAAAATGGTCTGCATCATTTTTTTTTTCACTTTGATGTGTATCAAAATTCAGCCCCCTGTAGGTGGATTATTTTGATTTCAAGATGTTGTTTATTTGTATTTGTATTTATTTATTTATTATTTATTTTATTTATTTAGCAGTGAACATGTAACAACACTTGCAGTTCAGTGAATGTTCATGTGTGCGAAGCATCCTGGTCTCAAAGCCAGATTATCACTTGGGCTATTATGATGAAAGATTTTACTTATTTTACTTTATCTTATAAAACAGTGCATAATCTCAATTTCTCTAAAGCTCTCTTAAATTCAAAGGAAACTCGGTTTTGTCACTGATCCAGTTGGTTTTGCAGATCTTGTTATTAATCTGAAAGAAATGATGCAGCATAATTCAGTCATTAAAGGTGATTTGGAACTAAATTTACTCCCTAAAAACTTAAAAACTTTAGTACTTGAGTTCATCGTTACAGCAACAAATCACAACATGTAAGCTATTTTATTTCTGCACAGTTACCCAGAGCTGTTTGTGATTTAACTTCAGAATAAACTGTTTCATCAGCTGCTGCAGGAGCTGGTTTCCCTGCAAAGAAATGATTTGTCAAATGTCATTGCAAGCGCCTCTTTGTTCAAAGTGACAACTTGATTTATTTTTACAACTTTTTCTTCTTGTGTAAAAATAATTAAAACTCGAAGCAAGCATGAAATTAGGTACTTATTTGATTACTTTACTTACCTTTGTGTCTCTTCGGTTTCGCTTTATTGTAATTGACCTGTGCATACAACAGGCTGTCATCTAAAAGAAGATGGACAGATGATCAGGATAAAAAGCCTCAGTTCAACCCTCCTCCACCCCTGGTCATTAAAGTCAGTGACTCTATAATCCAGTGAGGGAAATTTATGTATTTATGTAATCAATATCATCACTACCCTCTTAAAATGATGAAATAATGGTGTAGTCAATGAGGATTGCTTGATGCATAAAAAACAAGAAAAAAGAAAAAAAATCTTATTACTTCACTCACCGTTGTCTTTCTTGGTTTTAGCTCTATCGTGGGAGACCTGTGCATACAACACACTGCCATCTGAAAGAGGACGGACAGATGATCAAGATAAAAAAAAAAGGGTGAAGTGTGTTAATTTTTCATTACATTCATATCTCTGTCAGTCGACACCACACTGATCATCTAAACCTATTGAAGGTCTATTAAAGATGAGATGTTTCTGTCATGTTTAAAAACATTTCTATGAAAACCTGTTAGCCCTCAATTCAGTTTCACATCAGCTCAACCCTCCTTCATCCCTGCTCAGCACGACCCTTTCACTAAGCTCAAATCCAAACCTTAAGGATCACTCTTCACTTTTCCTCCATCTCTGTCAGAACCTAAATTCCAGTGAGGGAATGTAGCTCATACCATTTATGTCCTTTGAAAACAATAATCTGGTCTAATCAACAGCCTCCTCACATGTTTCTTCTATTCTCTTATTTCTGATAAAAACAGGGTTGAAATTAATTACATGCAATGCTTATAGGTGAAAATATTACACTCACACTATTATAATAATAATGTTTATTACATATCTACACTCCTACATGCTAGATAGTACAGAGGTAAGAAAAAAAAAAACATTTTTATTGAACTATACCAAAATCTACCAAACCGACATAACACAGAGTGAGATAAACATCAAGAACAACAATTTGTCTATTTAGGAAGCGTGAACCCATCTGAATCCGTTTTAGCTGCTTTGGTGCAAATCAGAGTGACAAGAGGTGCACTGGAGAGGCAACAACAAGGCAACTGCCAAAAAATAAGTGTTTATACAGGTGGTGGCCACAGGTCATCGCTCTCTCCTTATCCCTCCTGACTTATTTTTCTCTAGTTTTCCTTTGTGCTACTGTCCACCTGAGCGGCACGTTGCTGGGCTGTGGTATTAGTTAAGGATGTTAGTCTCTCAGGTTATAAACAGGGAGTCTGTTTCTTATAGTTTGACCAGAAACATGCACATGCTGCTTGGTTAAAGCCCTTATGGCCCTGATGCTCAGCTCTGCTTGTGTTACAGATCATCTCCTAGTATGTCACAGCACTTTCCTGAGAGTGCGCTAAATGTGTCGCCCTGAACGAGCTGGTCTACCTGAATGGACTGCAGGTGGTGCACCATCTCATACTACCAGTAGTGACAGGGACACCAGCAAAAAGCAAAACTAGAAAACAATCAGTCAGGAGGAATGAGATGGATTCATAAAACAGATTCACAGTGGTTTACGTTTTGTAGCACAGACTGGTCTTAAAGTTGAACTGACCCCGTGTTACACCAGAAGGACCAAGTGTCCAACTTCTTTTTCTTCTTATCTGTGTGCAGCTGATTTCTAAAACTTCCATGTTTAAACATAAATAATCACATAGTCTTCATATGTCAATGCTACTGTATCTACTTTACCATTTTGTGTGTCATCGTGGTCTTTGATTGATTCATAAACACAAGCATCACCTACAAAAACAAGCCAATGATAGATTAAAAACTGAAATTCTTATGTATGAATTTGATCATCTTCTAAATCAGCAAACTAGAAACAGATAAATCGGACCTGGAGTTTAAAATCTGTCAGTAAATAAAAAAAGCAACAACAACAAAACTTGTCATGGATCAGGCTGACCTTGAAAAGTAGAATTATGTCGACTGTGTTGAGCTTCATCCTTGATCACATGGTTCATTGCAGAGCTCTGATTTGTGCTCCGAGTCCTGGTTGAAAAAAAAAAAAAAAAAAGTAAACCTGTAGATTTAATAAGAAACACAGGATATACTTCTAGTACAGGAGAGGGGAGATTTTAACCAACCTGGTAAAGAATGAATCTGTAAGAAAATAAAATTTCAGTGTTATATAGTAAATTCTTCTGGTACATGTAGTGTTGAAGTTACATATGTGAATTTTATTATTTACTTTATATTCAGTTCAGAAAATGGTCTCACCCTTTTTGAAGCGACACAACAGCAGCAGAAGAAGAATCAGTAAAATTCCACAAACAAGTCCAACGATCAAAGGAGTGAGAAATGAAGAGCTTTCAGGCTCAGGTGCTGCTGTAATAATACCAGGCTTTAATTAGACATATTTATACAGATTCATCCACATAATTTAGGAACAGTTTAAAACATAAAAATATAGTACTATTTACAATATCACTAATCCTAATAAAAAGTGAAAGATTGCACTTGTTTTACACCATCCTGCTCTCTGGTGATTATTTACCTGAATAGCGATACAAAAGAAACTTTGATCTGAATGTCACATCACCTGTTCAACACTCCTATCTCATATCATTTTGATTAGTTTGTCATTTCTATGGAAAATCACATGAGAAAGAAAAAATTATCTTCTCAACCTTTAGTAGGGCTGGATTGGGCAAGAAATTGGCCCTGGCACTTTTGGCCCAGATGGCCCTGCGTGATATACGTATCATACATACTTATATATGTGACAGTTCACTATTAACAGTGGCTGATGGTCAAAGTAGGCATTCATTTAACTGGAATCCTTGAATCTCACTTCCTAATTATATCCCTCCATCTACTAATTTATGGCTGGTGCTAGCAAGAACAGCCTCCTGAGCCTATGAGACCTGGTTACTGGATGTTTCTGGCTCCAGGCCTGGAGGGACATACAATACAATTACAATACAATTTTTCTTATATAGCACATTTAAAAACCAGATGTATGCCAACGTGCTTCATGGAAACCAATTAAGAGCAATAATAAATACAAGTAAATAAACTAATAAAATAAAATAAATACAAATAAAATATACTGACAGGTGGGAGATATAACTAACCAATGATATACCAGGCATAGTAGGCACGAGCCCAAAGGCTGAAGGTTAAATGATAAAAACATTAATAAAAGCAAAAATGAATGGCTACTTTGACCACAAGTCACTGCTGATAGCTAAAGTGTACGTTTAGTTAGCAATCATGGTAGGCTCCATGGACCAAAAATGCCAAGGTTGATTTTTTTGTCCCAGTCCAGCCCAGCCTGGAGCCCAGAGTGACAGGATATCCTTCAGTAATGGTGCGTTCACACCGAACGCGATAGACGCGACCAGAGCTTCAGGTTTAAATGTAAAGTCAATGGAGGAGCGCGATGAAGCACGACTGGGGGTCGCGCGAAACTTCAGAAGCAGATTTGCGTCGCGAAAGCGCTTTTCTGCCTGATTCGCGGAGCCAAGTAGCGCGACTGACACATTTGAAGCACAAAGTAAAATCCACGCTGCAATTTGTGTGGTGCATTTTGTGCATTCACGCTTATCTCATCTACCGCTCAAGTTGGAAAAATCTGAACTCCAGTGTCAAGTCGCACCGCGACAACCAATCAGGAGCCTGGTGATGTGATGCTCTGACCTAGTTCAAAGGGGCAGGTCCAGCCAAAGCCATTCATTCTAGCAATCAGTAGTTTTCTGATGAGGCAGCAGGCTTTCCAGGGCAGAAACAATGTTCTTATTTTTCTCCTCCTTCTCCCTGAGGCTCTTCAACTTTAAGCTGGGTCCTTTTTATTCCCATCTCTCTGTAAATAGTTATATTTATGTTTAATGTTTTTCTGTTTGAGCATCTTAATATTATTTCAAATAAATTTTTCTAATGAGTAAAGTGTAAGTCTGATTATGAGTCTGACTGTCAGGATAAATGACCTGCTATCGTCAAAGTCAAAGTCAACTTTATTTGTCAATTCTGCCACATGTACAGGACATACAGAGAATAGAAATTTCGTTACTCTCAAACCCTAGATGAAATAGCAAATGAACATTTAAATATAAGAGAGTGATTAAAAAAATGCAAATAAAATAATTTAAAAGTAAAAATTTAAATAAATACAATACAATTTAGCAAGAAAGCTATGCAATATACAATATACAATATTCAGGTAAGGGTAAATGACATTGAATGTAAACCAGGCAGAGTAGTGCAAATAGGCAAATAGTGCAAATGGAGATTTAGTAATATATGGTAAGAGATAATATAACAACAAAGTCTTATGAGGTAATGGCAGTCCAATGCTCCACAAGTGACTAGTAACTGGTGCAGGCCAGTGAGTGAGTCAGAGAGTGTGTGTGTGTGTGTGTGTGTGACAGAGTTCAGTGAGACCATGGAGGAGAGAGGGGAGAGGGGGCAGAATCGGGAGGGAGTTAAGCTTCCTGACAGCCTGATGGATGAAGCTGTCCTTCAGTCTGCTGGTCCTGGCCTGGAGACTTAAAACTGATAAAACTTGTTTTATTAGTTTTAATCTTTTAACTTTATGCATCAAGCAAAAATTTAATTATATGCAACATTCTCTGACTGGAAGAAATTAGTTTAACATTTAAACCTATTTTCTGCACATTCCAGCACATAAAATAAAATATTTTTGTGTTTACACTCAGTCTTTCAAATAGATGCAAGTAAAACACAGCAGAAAATAAATAAAGTCAAAGACTAGCGGTCCTGTTGCTCTATTTTCACCTGTAAAGCAGGAGTGGGTAGGCGGAGGTTTACCCTGGTGCAGGTGTGCCGCGGTCAGTGGAAGAATCCGCGAGTTTCTCTGTGAAGTTTCCCATTATCGTTGCGCACTCGGTGCTTGCTTGGAAGTTTAGGGGTTTTTTTCGCTGTAAAAAGAAGTTTTCTTCCCACGCACAGCGGACACTAATGTTTTTGTCACTTTTTATGGAATCAAACTCAAAGTAAGGTCAGTACTTCCACGCTGCACGCTCATACTCTCTCCCACAATCGATATGTGATCCATTGTTGATCTGCACACAGCTGTTGTCACTAACGGCGCACTCGCTTACGTCACTGTCGATGAGACATTCTCGCAAAAAAATCACGGTTTTAGTAAGCAGTAACGCAGCGTTCCTACGGGAAAGTAACGGTAATCTAATTACCGTTTTTGCAATAGTAATCCCTTACTTTACTCGTTACTTGAAAAAAGTAATCAGATTACAGTAACGCGTTACTGCCCATCTCTGATAGTAATGTATAGATATGGAGCCAGACAATATGTAGAATCATATTGGCATCTAAATATTGTCTAGAGAACAAAATTAATACTGTCAAAATGAAGTAATTACTCCAGTCTGCAGAAAACTGCTGTGCACTTTTCAGTTTTTCTTTACACCTGTAGTCTCTATCATGCAGTGAAATATTTAGCTTCCTCAATACACTTTTCCTTCAATGTTTTGTAGTTTTTTATTTATACTTCCCACTCTGTGTATTTTTCATATACTTCTTATTGCCCCTGCTCTGTATATCTGAAGCCAGATATGTTGTAGATTTATAAAAGTCATGTTTGTTTATTCATGTTCAGAAAAAACTGACCTGTTTTCCCAATCGCTGACTGACTGGCTGTCCTCTGTGTAGTAAACTGGGTTTCCTCTTCCTCCTCTGCACCTGTAGAGTCCTTCCTGTGAGACACTGATTTGTCCATTTGAGTGGAAAACTGCATCTTGTGTGGTCAGGGCTTCAGAGGATTTCTCATCTCTGTACCAGTAGTATTTCCATCCAGATGATGATGATGGGTTCACAGAGCAGGTCAGGGTCACACTGCCCCCTACTGGAATGTCTCTCATATCAAGTTTGGCCTTTGGTTGTATCTGCGTTGAGTTTAAAGACACAAAGAAAATATAATATTCCCAAGCAGGATCTACACGGCGCCTGATGTTGTGTATGGTCCTCGTTGTCACCTCCGGAGGAGCTCAGGGCCGCAGAGAACGTACATGTTTTTAAGAACAGGCTCAAGACCCACCTTTTTAATTTAGCTTTTACTTAGCGTTTATTTATTTTATGCTTATTTATTCTATCCTGTTATTCTATTATTAATTTAGCTTTACCTAATATTTATTGATTTTATTCTTATTCATTTTTTAATCTTCTTACTCTATTTATATTTATATTTATTTGTATCCTGTTCTTATTTATTTTATCATTTTACCCTGTATATATCCTATTGTGTCATATCTCCAGTGTTTCCTCAGAGGGCGCTCTCTGCACCGGGGCTGTGATCGACCGTGGCTGCTGGGTCTCTGGGGTCCTCTCAGCCTGGCTGGGGGGCTCCTTTGCCTCCCTCCTGCTGTGTGCCCAGCCTGGAGGCTGCGGTCTGTGACCGGCTCCCGGTGCAGACGGCTCCCTGTTATAGTGTTTCCTCACTTGGCTCATGCGAGCCCAGCCCAATTTTTACTCTTTAAGTGTGCGCGTGTGTGTATGTGTGTGTGTGTGTGGGGGGGGATATGTGTGTATTCACATCATTTATGTTAATGAGAGTGTGGGGAGTGAGTTGGAGGGTGGGGTGGGCTGCTTTTAACTATGTAAAGCACTTTGTGCTACATTGTTTTTTGTATGAAAAGTGCTTTATAAATAAAGATTGATTGATTGATTGATTGATTGATTGATTGTATACTACCTCTTAAATTTCCAGTTTCCAACAACACATAGGAAGGAATGAGGCCAAATTGAAATGGTATGAGAGCAATTATTTTAATTTTTTTTTTTTTAACTCAGAATGATAAAAGAGATGTTAATAAGCATGTTGTTCACTTCAACTCTTCTTGCACATGCATACACATGCATACAGGTGCTTACACACACACACACACACACACACACACACACACACACACACACACAATGCCTTGTCTTAGAACCATTGGGGGTTTTTACGGTAGGAGGAGTTGTGTTGTGTTGTGTAAACTGTAACTGTCATGGGAATAAATAGCTGCGAGGAGAGCTGCTCTTTAAAGGATTTGGGCTAGAGACAGGTGAGGAGCATTGCTCCACTGCCTGGTTCTGACCAAAGCTCTCCCTCGTTAGCGAGTTAAAGACCGGTTGAAGATGTTCATGAAGAACGGCCTTGTTTTCCGTTCTTCATGAGGAATAAGTCTCTAAACTAGCGGGGCCTGTGGAAACACAGACTCAACAGTTTGAATTTCAGATGTAGTGCTTAAAAGTGCTTGGAAGTGTAACTGTATTTCATTCACCACAAATAACTATCTGATTGAATAGTTTTCTTATCAGATAGAAAAATAAAATGAGTTGCAAAATGTGCTGCCTTGCACCTCTGT